AAATGCTAGCTTGCCTAACAAAATAAGGAATCCGTCGGATCGGCACCTGACGAAGCAGGCGGCTAGCTGGAGAAATGACATCTTGAGGAGGAGACAAGTCGGAAAGGAAAAAATAGATACCATGAACCACCACAAGCATTTTGTACAGTGAGGTGAGGAAGGTCATGTACAGGACAGTCAAGCAAGGGGATGAGGAAAGGAAGATAGCGAGGTGGGCGGATTCGGCTGGGATGTGGAAGAGAAACTTAAAATTCCGAGGCATCTAGGATCTAGTTAAGTTGAGCAACTGAGCTTGGGCTACTGGTAAATATCAAATAATGTGCATTTCAATCAAAGCACATATTATCAGTTCTGGTGGGTTTAAGCTAGAAATAGTGGCGGCGATCAAACGGCATAGAGCAAAGAGTAAACTGCAAACTGGCATCACTAGAAGAAGCGTATATCATGGCGAAGAAGGCAATGGAAGATGCTTCGAGGATAAAAAAGTAGACTGATGATAGAGTAAATCTAATCGAGACTAATAGCAATGCGTTGGATGGCCGTCAGTTAGTGGGAAACTGGTCCGGCTGGCCAACGAACCGCCGAACAGGAATATCATCAGTCGTCACTAGCCTGACTAGATTGGTCACAGGACTCTGCAGTCTTTCAACTGCCTCATACATAATATCAGTCGGTAATCTATGATCACGCTGGGCTGTGGTAATGAAAATAAGCAAAATATGCATGAAACAGAGGAAACGATGATTCCACATGGCTTGGCTGATGAGAATTGGTAAAATTGGCGTAAATCTGCGTCTGAATAGATGGTTATGTGAAGGGTGCAGTCGCTGATTCGGAGCACAAAAGAGCGTGTAATTATCGAAAGAAAGAGAGGAAAAGTGAGAACCGCAGAAGTGAGAGGAGCGTCAGCGCGGCCAGAGGCGTTGAGTCAATAGGGCTTTGCAACTCGTTGAAGAAACGATGGAGGCGGAGGGGCTGGCGACTTGCTGGAGCGTCGGGCAGCGGATCTGGGCCCGAATCCCGGTGATTGAGGCAGGCCTTCGTTCGAGTCCACCGAAGAGGGGCGTGAGACGGGTCGGGTCGCCGCTTGCGAGGCGTGAATCGGAAGTGGCCGCATCGGTGGACCTCGTGGAAAGAAGAGTGGTTCTCGAGACTCCGGATGGACTGGCGGGGAGCCCGAGTCGCCGAGGACGGACAGCCAAGCCGGCGGACTGGGACAACTCGTGTCCAGCTCGCCGTCGTCAAGGCTGGCGTTCTTTGACGGCCGGAAAAACTGCTCGGATTGGTTTTCTCGAAACAGAACAGACGAGCAGATGAGGCTGCTTGAAGGCTCGTCCGAGGGCGACTGAACAGGAGCCATGAACTCGACCAAATCGGAAGCGGCAAGGTCACCACCATGACCGGCTGGCCGGGCTGGCCGACGCGAAATGTCGGTCACATCTTCCGTCTGATTGGTCCCGTAAACCTGTCGTGAATGAGATACCGGCTCCGAGTCTCGGTGTCGCGAGTCCTCCTCTTGGCCCGTCAGTCCGCGTCCAGGAAAGAAGAGAGGTGCATCTTCGCCAAGCCAAGTATTCATCCGAATGTGGGTAAACAAGGTGTCCTCGTGCTCGGCCAGAGAGTCAAGGTTAACCGTTTGCTCATCTTCCTGCTCCTCTTCAACTGTACACATGTTGTCCTCTTCAAAAGTGGTCAGAAGAGCGGCTTTTTCACTCGTAACCGGCTCGAATCCGGTGCCGTCATCGCTCAAATTGGCATTTATCTCGGCGGCAGTTGTCGTCTCAGGCGCCGCAAAGCCGGAAATGGCGTCGGTTTCCGTGTCGCTGGTCGACGTGGGCGACAAGGCGTCGAGTGAGTCTGTTGCCGCCGAGTCGGTCAAACGTGTGTGCCGCAGTTGTGGATGAAGAGACGAGAAATATCGTCGCTCCCGAGCAGACTGTGCTGCAGCATCGAGGTCGGCGTCTGTGCCTGAGGTGGCCTCCTCTCTGGCCGACTTGTCTCCGTCAACCCTGCAGTCTGAGACGGTGGCATCAAACTCGCCTGTTTCTGCCTCTTTCAGCCTCGGGGGCAAGTCGAGCTGGCATTCCGGGCCCCGCCTAACGAGTGTCTGCTTGTTGTCGGCGGTACAGGTGGGAAGAGGTGCCGGTTGCACTGCTAGCCCCGACCTAAGCTGACGCCGATTCACATCTCGATGTTGCTGATGTTGCTGATGGTGATGATTGTGATGATGGCGCTGGACGTGGGGCTGATGCTGCTGGTGGTGTTGGTGTTGGTGTTGGTGTTGGTGTTGGTGTTGTCTGAGGCGCTGGTGACGAGCGCGGCGTTGCTGTTGGTATGCCGCGGCCAGTCCTTGACGAGTGTCGAGGTCGACTAGGTTAACACGAAATGCGCGCACCGCTTTCAGCTATCAGTACATTGGTTTTAGTAATTGACAAATGTGCCAAATGTGCCAAATGAAGCGCAAGCATACAACATGATATGCATATGTACACAAACGTATGCACATATAATGGCAAATATATATAGATATATATATATATATAAAGACGATAAACGTTTGCAGGAAAACAAGACATTTATAGAGAAAACTTCAAGAGGGCGGGGATAAAATTTCGAATCAACAAGAGGAGAAGAACAGGGGCGGTGAAATGGAGCAGGCATAGAATGAGTGCAAGACAAGAGGGCGAAAGACAAGGAAGGATAGAACAATTTCAATTAATCATAAGGGATTATAAAAACATAAATGCAAAACAAATTTAATAGACGTGAATCTTAAGTTAGGTTAGAGCAAAAATGGCATTATGGCATAAAGCATTTAATGTCGTTCGTACAGAAAAATAGCAAGATGAAACAAACCATTTTGGGATGGATTCCCAGTTTTTGGCTTATCCTACGGTGCTCAAGCATTCAAGGTATGCTCAGGAACTCATCAGAATGGCAACTAACAGTAGTTTTGGGCTAAATGAATGCCAAATAAATGCAATGAATGTTTGCAGGCCTGAACAAATTGTAGCAAGAAGACATCAGCACAACCTTTACAAACTAAATTGTAGATTAGCAAGGCACGTCTTTTGAAAATATCATGTCGGCTCCGGCGGAAATCGCAAGTGAAGGTTCGCTTGACTCTTTCCTGCCAATAAAGCCAATATTGGATGCTTGAGCTCCCTTAGAGTGAACATTGCGGATAATTTTATTTCATATAAAAATGTGTGATAAACAGATTCGTTGGTTGACTTTATCGGAAGACTACGACTCATTTGGCTTCAATACGACGTTCAGATGAATGCAGTCCACTGGACTCATTATTATAAAGGTTTAAACTCATCATTAAATTAGGAAGATTATCAAATTCTATCTTATGCGCCATATCTATTTATAAGTAAAAATGAAAATATAAATATAGATAGACACATAATAATTTGATTAGCACTTTTTTATGTATTTATCGGGGTAGTTATACTTTTGTG